ACTCGATCCCAGGACCCTGGGATCATGACCTGAGCCGAAGGCAGTCGCTTAACCAACTGAGCCACCCAGGCGCCCAGGCAGAGCATTTTTTACTTACTTCCACCTGCTATGGGCACAGAGCTCTGACGGCTGGGCTATCTCCCACAGCAAAATCCAGTCCTTTAGGTCCTGACTGCTGGAGAGAGTGGGAATATTACTAACTGAGATGTTTAAAAAACACATGTATAGCAGGTAAAATAGTTCAATATCCATCAGATAGTAAGTGATTATTACATCAGCAGTAAAATAAAGAACCAAATTTGGCCATGGCAGTAAACGCTGGTGTCCCTCTCCGAGGTAAGTGTAAGGACTTACACGGGCTCATACGGGCTTAAGGAGAAGCTGACTATATGGTAAATCCCCACTCCCTTGGAGCTCTAGAGCTTGGGAAGCTCACAAATGTGAATTTACCTTCCAACAACCATCAAAAAGAGTTATTTCAAAACACACTCAAAAAACTTGGTTAAAAGGTATTTTCAAGGGACTCTACACAGCAATAGTAAGTTTTAATAAAATTAAGTATCTGGTGGATATATATAATGCCAACTGAATCACCTTATTCTATAGTACAACAACACAATTTAATACAAATGATGTCTACAATTGATGTGGTGTAATGATGTGTCTGAAGCAGGTAAAATGTTCCAGGGGTTTGTGAATCACACACACACACATCTTTAGTGAAAGAGGTAGGAGAGCCACGTGTCAGCGCCATCTCTTAGGACAATGACACCTTCCTAAGGTAACTCATGACCCTATCATGTGGTTTTTCATCTGAAGAATGAGAATAATAGCAGAGTCACTGAGGATATTATCTATGAACGGAAGAATGGATACATGATAGATAGATAGATAGATATGATAGATGGTGGAGGACAGATAGATAAATGATGGGTGGATGGACAGATGGATAGATTGATAAATAGGATAGATGGGTGGATGGATGGATATATAAGTCAGATAAATAATAGGTGGATGGATGGATGGATGGATAGATGATAGATGATAGATGATAGATGATAGATAGATGATAGATGATAGATAGATGATAGATAGATGATAGATGATAGATAGATAGGTAGATAGATGAATGGATATATAGGTCATAAATAATAGGTAGATGGATGGATAGATGGATAGATAGATGATATAGATAGGTAGGTAGATAGATAGATAGATAGATAGATAATGATGGATGGATGGATAGATGGATGAATGGATGGATGATAGATATGATAGGTAGATAGATGAATGGATATATAGGTCATAAATAATACGTGGATGGATGGATAGATGGATAGATAGATGATATAGATAGGTAGGTAGATAGATAGATAGAGAGATAGATAGATAGATAATGATGGATGGATGGATGGATAGATGGATGAATGGATGGATGATAGATGATAGATAGGTAGATAGATGAATGGATATATAGGTCATAAATAATAGGTGGATGGATGGATAGATGGATAGATAGATGATATAGATAGATAGGTAGATAGATAGATAGATAGATAGATAGATAGATAGATAGATAGATAATAGATAGATGAATGGATATATAGGTCAGATAAAAGGTGGATGGCTAGATAGATAGATGATAGTCATGGATAAATGGAAAATTTATAAATTTGATAGATGGTAGATAGATACAGATAGATGAGAATTGATAGAATTGGTAAGAGATAGATTTTAAAAAGTTAATATATGTAATATGCATTACATATTATATGAATTTATACTTATGGCCATGCTGTTGAGCTTCTCATGAGGGTAACCCCAGCAATTAAGGTGTTAGTGACTTTCACTGAGTTACCACTGCAATTTGGATATGACAGTGCCATATAACTTTAAAAACCAAACTCTTTTAAAATTCTCAGGTTACTATAATATTCAGTTAAAAAGAAGTGTCGACCATCCAGTAAGGACACCTCTGAAAGGAACCTGCAGCCACCCTGAGGGAGGGGGCTTCCCTACTTCATCCCCTCTGGTCTCTCATTTACTGGAGCAGATGTGCACATGCTCCTGGTTTATTCCTGTCGGGAAACATACTCAGGTTGTTAATATATGGATTCTAGCTTCGTATCCTGAGAGAAATCTGGAGATCCAACACATTTGGAATATTATTTTCAAGGCTGACCTCACTCTTTTGCCGTCTTTGGCAGAGGCTGTGGTCAGATGCCAGGTTTGATCCCATAGGTATGCCAAATGGATGAAGAACTCTGTACTTTGGGAGGCACTGACCTAAATACAAAGACTGAGGACTTGTTTCCAGCTTCTGCTGGTGACTCACCTCAACCTCTCAGTCTTCAGACTGTGCCAGTTCTGAGCTCTGGTGGGGTGGAATCTGGAAGGATAAGATTTGCCTGGGGCCTCAGGATACAACACTGCAAACGTCGGGCAACCTTAGCCCCTCTACCCTTAGCGTGCATCAGAAAAGGATTTCCCTTCTTGGATTCTGCTGTGGACCTTCATCCCCTCCAAGTCCTAAATGGGTAGATTTTCAGGCAAGGCTGAGCTTAGATGTGGACAGCCTGCAAAGACCCTTTCTCCAAAGAGGGTCATATTCCCAGATTCTAGTGATGGAGACCTGGTATCTTTGGGGACGTTTTTTCAGGCTCTTAGAGGAAAAAGTTACCACAATCTGGAAGGGTTGTATTTTTTAACTGTGACCAATCCCATCATCATCTGGCAAAATGCTGGAGCAGGGATGCATGGCGACCATAGTTCAATGCTGTCTCTCTGCTGGAAGAAAGCCAAGTGGTGTTTGAATGGAAATGGAGCTTGGAAGTCTTCCCTGTAGAGTTTATAGATAGCTCAGGAAGGTCCCAGGAGGTTAGGGGAACCAACTGGGGTCAGACCCCAGCCAGCAAATCCCCCACTCATGCTGTCTCTCCAAGAGAAAATTAAGTGATCACTTAGAGCAGCCAAGTACCTGCTCCCATTCTGCTCTTCGTTCTCCTGCAAGATGCGATGAGCCTTTACAAGGTAAGAATCGCTGACTTTCTGGCCAGCACGTGTCCCTGAACACTTGAACGAAAACAACCCTACGTATCAGGAGGCAAGGCAGCCTTGACCGAGCTCATGGGTCCAATGTGTTAATGTGTGAGAAAAGGTGAGCAAATGTCAAGTGTCTGGGGAAGAAGAAAATGTTTCACGGCCATTGAAACATGGGGAAGGAGACGCCTTCACCATCACTGACTTCTCCCAAACAAGGGAATAAATGGTCTTACTAAGGGAAAGGACATGAATAAACACCACAGAATTTCAACAAAACTCCAGGGGATAAACTCTTTTTTTTTTTTTTTTAGCCTTTAACATCTGGAGCTTCTAGATTCTGTCAGTGGTGCATATTTTAAAAATAATTGACACATATTCAACCTCTCCATATGAGATCAAGATGCTGCTAGTGAGCACTACATGCTTCCCTTTCATAGCTTGACAGAGCGGATTATATTATAGACGATGGGAATTTGATAAAAACAGTACAGAGTCTCTTTATTAACTTTTGTAGATTTTTTTTTTATATCTGCAGATGATCTTCCCAATGACAATGGTCATTTTTTTTTTCAATCATAAAGATGTTAGGGTACACCATTGAGTGTCTCATAAACTCCTTCGGTCATGAGAAGGAAAGTTTCCATCATTAATGGAAAGCACATGCTGAGGTTTCGATGACATCAGTCTGATTCCTGGAGAATGAGGGGACTTGGGGATTTCTGGGCTGTTAAGAAAAAACAAAGAGAAGGAAAGGAAAGGAGCCATGGGGCTTACTCAGGACTCTCAGGGACACCAAGGAAAGCACTTGGAAGAGGATCAAAGTGCATCAGTGAGAACGTCCCATCGTCGTATCGGGGGTGTGAGTTGCTGACTCATAAGCACGGAGGTGGCTTCTGGAGGTGGTGTCATTGTCCGGGAAGGCGGGTGGCATCGGCCGTCGGAGGCACAAGCCTGGCATCGCGGCTCTGGGAGGAAGCACGGGTCCCCCTCCGAAGCCCGCTGTCGACGGCTCTCCAGTGTCCCCAGCCACTGCTTGTGAGTCATGTCTTGACCACAGACATCTGACCCGCCTGACTTCCCGCCGCCCACGCCGGCCTCCGGGAGAGGCACCTCCCGGACGTTCGCTCTGGCTCCTTCTAGGCCCTTCCCTTCCCCGACTGTCCATAAATACCAGATGGCAGATGCTGCTCGGCACTGTTTGCAGGAAAGCCGTGGCAAAAATGCTCGCCCATGGCCCTGCCTTCAAGGACACGGTTTCTCTTGACCTCGTCCTTCCCTGAGGCTGCTGTCCATTCTGTCTTGTTCCCGTCAGCATTGAGTGTCTTCACACACGGACCTCCCTCCTTTCCTGCCATCCCTTGGCACCCGTCCACGGCTCAGCCGGTCCCAGGTTCTCCTGATGCTGTCCCAGGAAACATGGCGCCATGTTCTTCCCAACCCAAGAATCTGCTGTCAAGGGCGAATCTTCTGTGAGCTGCTCAGCCCCTTGTCCTCTGTTCATGCCAGACTCTTCCCAAAGCCCCACCGATTCCAATATCCCTTTCCAATCTGCTCCTTCTACTGCACTTACTGCCATTTTCCTGGTCCTCATCGTCCCCCTGAGGATGGTGGCAGATATGGACACCCCCACTCCCTACTCCACTCCATTCTTCCCTTTGTCCTTTTGGTCACAGAGCCCCCGAGTCTGTTGGGCTCATGGTTGCCCTGGAGGGTGCCTTTCCCCACCTCCCTTGCAGTGCAGTGGTGCGGGGCCACGTTGCAACTGTGAGCTATGGGAGGAATGGGCTGGGCCCCCCAATGCCTCCTTCCACTCTCTTGAAGGCCAGGTCCCTCTGGTGCTGTGTGGTGACCCACTAGACAGGGATTCCACCTGCTCTGTTCTTCTGTCTCCCAGGGATTACTGTTCATAAGTGCCTGAAGTCCAGTCTTGAAGACTGTTCTTTGACTCTTTATTTCTTGATTGGTTGAGGCTGGAGGGTAAGCCTACTATGTCCATCTTAACCAGATGTGGAAATATGGCACCTGACGCATCCTGTTGTTGCTGGTGACTTTCTCAACCTTACGACTGAATGCCCACATCTTGGGATGTGCCTAAGCACTGAACCTCTGATTCCGTGGGAAGAGCAGGAGGGTTGAAAATGTGGGGGGGCATTAATGAATTGTACTTCTTTGATGTCCCTCGTTCCATTCTACC